CTAGCGTCCGATGGACGATTAATCAACTCGTGCCTCAATTCAAGTGTGCGCTTCAGAGATACGAGGTGGAATATTGATCTATAATAATCTATAAATAAATCGATTTTAATTGCTGGTTTCACGACAATGAAATCATAATCGCAAAAAGTGGATCGGTTCGATCTCTGTTTCATTAAATCGAACCGCTTTCAATTTTCATTCGGGCGATAAAGAGTGGAAGAAAGCTATTTGCTATGATCGAGTGTTTTTGAGAAGGTGGCGGCGGCGGCAAAGTCTCACCTGTCGTTTGGCTGGGTATTTTGAAGCGTTTTTCAATTGTTGTTAATGTGATAACAAAGTACAAATAACTGGTGGCCTGAATTGTGCCCAACAACCCATAAACTATCATAAACCATCGTGTCGTTGCGAATTTACGCAACCAATTCGGATGCCAACACTGAACACCACAACGGTCCATTTTGTTTCTCTTATTCGTTTCTGGTTCTTTTTTGCCTCTCTCCCTCTCTATCACGAGTTCTTTGATAGATACTCAAAAATCAAGTGCGTTATTGCAACTGAACAAAATGTCAAATCACAGAATGTTGTTGGTTCTTTGTGCTCCGCTCACACATACACTTTCTTTCTCTCTTTCATAATCTGGATTGATTTTTCTTAATTAGGAAATGATTTGAGTTTTGAGCACTTTTCAACACATACACAACAACGGCGATACGCTCATTTCACACACAAAGCACTTGAAAACTAATGTCATATGCCAATTCCGCGCATAATTGCATAAAAAGAGCCGTTGATTAATGCACTTTATTCACGTTGTTTATTCACTCCGATTTCGACAAGATTAGCCAGTTGTTGTTGTTGTTTTTTCCCAAGGAACGACGAAATTTTTCTAATATTATTCAGGCTAATATCGCACTATTCTAATTTCCAGGTTTGAGTCTTGATGAAATTGTACGAGAAAAATAGAATATTCCTTTGTTAGGCGCAAATTGTTTGTACGGTTTTGATCACTCTAACCTTCTAAATTAAACGCAACTGAGCTTAGCTCAATTGACCGTACGACTAACCGTTGCCGAATCTATTGAATAACTGAGCGTGCGGACGACTGATCCATAAGCAGAACGCTTGTCCACAATTGATGATTGCAATCAGCAACTTCAACGACGATGGCGAATACAAAAACGACGCATCTATAATTCCATTGTGCAAATTTTCGGTTTGCGCTGGTGTGCGCCTCCAGATCAAAACTTGTCTAAAATAAAGCTGGAAGCAGAGCACGCTAACAAATATTCAAATCAGCTTGAATAACATATATTTTCATGCGATATTTGTGATGCGTTCACCAAGCGACACGCACAGACAAAGCAACTCAGCAGTAATGTGTGGTTTGGTGAACGCATCACAAATATCGCATAAAAATATCCGATATTTTTATTCAAGCTGATATGAATATTTGTTAGCGTGCTCTCGCTGGAGGGGCTTCTATTTTGAATAGGCTAATTTGCACATTTGTACGCATCGGGCAAGAAACATGCAAACACAAACAACTTGAGCTCACGAAACAAAGCCACTGACAGCAATACCAAGTAATTGTGGCCGATGTCATAGCGAAAATAAAGTTTGAACAGGCGAGCACGCTGCTTGCTTTGTATGAAACATTAATTTTTATTGTGCATATTCATTCTAAATTCGGACGCTCAATTGAATAGTTGCATGTGACGAAATACTTACTTGTTGTTTATATGATGATTTCACTCGCAAACAACACAGAAGTCTTGTGTGATAGAGCAGTTCTTCGAGTTGGTGTCAAAATCTGCATCTCTCACTTTAAATTTCACTGTGCAATACATAAGCTATGACAATAGTTCAAAATCAAATAGAAAAAAAAAACGAAATTTCGACATGGCTCACCTTGGATGCATTTTTCTGCAATCGTATCAAGTTTCATAATTTTGCTTAAGTGTCATTTTGTTCGGTGGATAAGATTATTATAGATTTGATTTCGTTGGTTTTTTTTTATCGAAAAGGAGTAAAACCCAGTGTTTGAAACTGTTCAACATTTTTGTTTTTCATGCAAGTTTGCCTCACGCCATGCTATGAAATTATTTATTCTTTGAAACTGCTCAAAAATGATGAATACACAAAATCAGGAAAACAATTGGTTATTATTTCTCTATTTATTAATGAAAAAGATACACACAAATCCGTAATTTATGCTACGTGTTAACCCTAACGACCTTTTTCTTAAAAATTAAGCTTCAATATGGCTTTTGAGGTCATTGAAAACAAATCTGGATTCAGAATTATGAAAATCACAGTGATTAAATCTTGGTCGTCATAGAGTTGAGTGGTTGAGTTTCAGGTGAATCGTCTTTGTCATTTTTGATGGGTTTTGGTTTTTCTTCACCATATAAATCGAGGTTTTTGGCATAGCACCAAATCAAGAACTCAAATCCGACGCCAATCAGAATGAAAAATGCCGAACTTGAATGCATATAGTATCGAAATTTGATGGGATCATAGAGAAGACAATTCCCTTGTCGACCACACTTTTTATTCCACACCAAACAGGTGCTGTCAATAATACGGCCAAATATGATTGGTGCAGGAATTAATGCAAATAAACTGATGGTAAACAATCCAAAACCTTGACCTAAAGCTTTATCTCTGGGTTCGACCGCCCTAAAATGTTGTAAACAATAAAATTTAGCATACAATCAACTACTGAAAATTCAATGCTTTTTTCTATTAGTACTAAGCAAATAGAAAGTTGCAACTATATTTGAGACAACTTACCGAAAATTCAGTAAAATACCTGCCATCACACCAGTAAGAAGGAGGATGCTCGATACCATGCAGAGGAATGAATACACATAGTAATCAAAGGAGCAATCCCCAACGCACGCTCCGGATGAAATGTTGCGCACCACTTCGAATTTGCTCATAGCAGATTTGACATCACATGTACAATCTGAGTAAATGTTATGTTTTTCGTTGTAAGTCCTACAGCCGGCATGACACGCTGAATAATATGTTGTGCTTGTTGAACGATCGCACACTGGGCTGTACGAAATATCACCACAAACACAGTTCGAGTTACACGAAATAATCGATCCATCAACTAGCAACGAGTCGTTGCTTCCACAGCCCAATTGCGTGTATGAAAGTGTGCAAAACACGGAAATCAATCCAACAATAATATTCCAAAAGAACACGTAGCGTGATTTTGGTCTGTATTTCGTCAAGATAAAACCAGACAATAATGTTCCAATCGCCATACCACCCATAATCATAGGGCCAGTGAAAATTGATCCACCAGAGGATGTTTTATTGAACTGAACCTCCATTTGTCGTCCCATATATGTTAATGGGCCAGTAAAACCGAGCATGTAAAACACGGAAGAAAATCTGCTAAACATAACCAATTTGTTCGAAATAAGTCGCCATATTGCCTTCGAGAATTCTGAATTGTCCAAAGAGAAGAGAAGAAGTTCGTTATAACCATTTATTTCTTAAACTTTATAATAATAGAATGAAAATGTGTTTTTCTCAACCAGTTTGTACCTTTCAATTCGCCGTTTTCCTTCATTTTGATTTCTTCTTCAGTTTCACTGATTTTATTATGTTTGTCGCCGTCCAATTTATGTTCCTCGAGATTTGTTTCCTTTTTCAAACTCGTTGGGAACAATCCAATCGAAGAAGCAAATACAAACATTGAACATCCGACTATGATCCATCCAAGCCACCAGGCGCCCATCCAACGAGGATCATTTTTCGAAATGAGTGGCGTCAACGTGGGATCAATGTAAACTCGCAATATCACATAAGCGAAGCAATAGCCGATGACCGGGCCGAAAATACGCATAGCTTTTCATTGAAATACATATATGATATCACTAAATACAATATAAATGTATTATTACATAAAATATGCTTACCATATGCATAAGATAACATCAACGGAGTGTTGTGTTGCTTTGTATTGTTATCAATGTAGGCTGGCCCGAGTGAATAATACAACGTATTTCCAATGCCGAGCACAAATTGTGATAGAAATATCAAAATCAATGGCACATACGAAAACTCTTCATCACAATCTGAATCTTCGCCAGTTTTGTCCGAGTTATGACACAGTTTGTTATTCCTTGGATTCACTGGCTGCGCTACTATTTCCGACGATACATTCTGTTACGGAAAACGGAATCGCATTGTTTTAATATAGTAATTTTCATCAAGATTTTATATGTACACAAATTGTATTTGCTTAATAGATATTAACCCATTCGTTTTACCTGATTTGATGACAAGTAGTTTTGTTCGGTGTATTGAAGTGCTTCTTCGCCGGCGCCATAAATAAAATGCGGCGAAGCCAATATAAAGCATGATATTGCACTACATACAACGCCCCATGCTATCCACTTTGGACTATTTTTCTGACCGCCAAAGTATGTTAAAATCAATGATAATAAAATTTGCGATATCTCATTTCCGCTCAGAATGATTCCTAGAAAAAAAAAAATTCGATGTGAATTGTTTCGATATGACGAAAAAATAATCATAATTCATGATAATTGACCACTGGTCAATGACCAGTATTGCGATATACCTGTTGTTTGACTTGGAATTCGGAAACGCCTTTCCATGGTGGTTAACGTGATATTAAAATACGTGGTACTGGCCGATTGGATTGTTCCCAAGAGCGAATAAACCAAAACGAACCATCGCGTTTTTGCAAATTTCTGCATCCATTGCGGATGCCAGGAAAAACATGATGTTCCACAGCCATCCATTTTTCTTGGACGAATTATATCTCTTTTCGAATGAAGCTATTCGGAATGTAGCAGTATTCTTGTGATGACCACCGTTGAAAGCACTGACAATTATAAATCAAATGAATGAAAAAGATTCAATATTTTGTGTTAATTAGTTTACTAATATAAAACTACACTCTGAAAAGTTTAAATTTTGTTTGTTATCGGTGTATTTGACTGTGTAGTCTGTATTTCTTCAAATTTGCTTGTTATTCAAAGTGATCTTTTCTTATAACACATAATTCCTAGTTCAAATTTACAAATGACCTACCGTTGTCAAGCCAATCGAACTACTGAATGCGTCGATAAGTGTGCTGACTTTCACAAGCATCACGCAAAACGATAATTGATTTCTAAATGTCCACAAGAAACCTTTGATTTACAAATCTAATAAGCTCTGATAATAGTAATCTGAACAAGCATCTGATGCGTATAGTTAGTATTTTCTAATTTGTAACAAATTTTGTTCTATGTGTTGGTTATTAATCAAAGCAACTAGATTATATAGCAATTGAAAACACAAGATAACATGGCTATTATCGGACTTTAAATGGCTTTTGTCTGGTCAAAATCAATTATTCGAAACGAAATTTCTAATTCAATGAATTTAGTTTCAGGCAGAAAAACAGAAAATAAAATGGAATAAGGATAGCAACACATTTTCTGCACATTTGCCCATTTATTGATTTGAAAATACACGCACATCTTAAGATTATTTTTTTACTATAGTTCACCGCTTACTCCGTGTTAAGTGGTTGAGTTTCGGGTGAATTGTCTTTGTCATTTTTGATGGGTTTCGGTTTTTCTTCACCATATAAATCGAGGTTTTTGGCATAGCACCAAATCAAGAAATCAAATCCAACGCCAATTAGTACGAAAAATGCCGAACTAGCATGCATGTAGTATCGAAATTTGATTGGATCATAGAGAAGACAATTCCCTTGTCGACCACACTTTTCATTCCATATTAAACAGGTGCTGTCAATAATACGGCCAAAGATGATTGGACCGGGAATCAATCCGAATAAACTGGCAGTAAATAAAGCAAAACCCTGCGCAAAAGCTTTATCTCTTGGTTCGACCGCCCTAAATGATTGCAAAAGGTATAAATTATGGAAGAACGCTTCAACAACATTCGAAATTACTCACCGGAAATTCAGTAAAACACTTGACATTAAGCCCGTGATACAGAGAAAGCTTGACGCCATGGAGATAAATGAATATGCATAGTAATCAAAAGAGCAATCCCCAACGCACGCTCCGGATGAAATGTTGTGCACCACTTCGAATTTGCTCATGGACGATTTGACATCACATGCACAGTCTGAGTAAATGTTTTGTTTTTCGTTGTAAGTCTTACAGCCGGCATGACAAGCCGAATAGAACGTTCTGCTCATTGAACGATCGCACACTGGGCTGTACGAAATATCATCACAAACACAGTTTGAGTTACACGAAATAATCGATCCATCAACTAGCAATGAGTCGTTGCTTCCACAGCCCAATTGCGTGTATGAAAGTGTGCCAAACATGGAAATTAATCCAACAATAAGACTCCAAAAGAACACGTAGCTTGATCGTGGTCTGTATTTTGTCATAATAAAACCAGATAATAATATTCCAATCGCCATACCAACCATAGTTAATGGGCCAGTAAAAATTGATCCACCAGCGGATGTTTTATTGAACTGAACCTCCATTTGTCGTCCCATGAACGTCACTGGTCCTATTCTCAAAAATTAATGAAAATAATTTTAAAACTTTATCGGAAACATTATAGAATTATTATCTTCACCGGAAAAACTGAGAATATAAAACACGGAGGAAAAACTGTTCAACATCAACAGCTTATTTGTAATGAGTCGCCATATTGCCTTTGGAAACTCTAAATTGAAAGGGCATAGAGAATCCAAATTATGACAAATTAAAATTAGTAAAAGATTTTAATAGAATGATAACAATTTACCTTTCAATTCGCCGTTTTCTTTCACTTCGATTTTTTCTTCAGTTTTACCATTTTTATCACATTTTTCGCTGTCTGCTCCCGGTTTTCCTTGATTCTCTTCCTTTTTGAAACTTTTTGGAAACAATCCGATCAATAAAGCAAATACAAACATCGAACATCCGACCATGATCCATCCAAGCCACCAGGCGCCCATCCAACGAGGATCATCTTTTGAAATGAGTGGCGTCAACGTGGGATCAATGTAAACTCGCAATATCACATAAGCGAAGCAATAGCCAATTACTGGCCCAAAAATACGCATGGAATAAGCATAAGATAACATCAACGGAGAATTGTGTTGCTTTGTATTGTTATCAATGTAGGCTGGTCCGAGTGAATAATACAACGTATTTCCAATGCCGAGCACAAATTGTGATAGAAATATCAAAATCAATGGCACATACGAAAACTCTTCATCACAATCTGAATCTTCGCCAGTTTTGCCCGAGTTATGACATAGTTTATTATTTTTTGGATTCACTGGCTGCGATACTATTTCCGACGATACATTCTGTTACGGAAAATGGTAGTTTTAAACAGTTCTTTTATAGTATTCTTAATAATTTTTGGTATTTATATGAATTGTTTAATCTATTTGTTTTACCTGATTTGATAACAAGTAGTTTTGTTCGGTGTATTGAAGTGCTTCTTCGCCGGCGCCATAAATGAAATGTGGCGAAGCCAATATAAAGCATGATAGTGCGCTGCATATGATACCCCAAGACATCCACTTTGGACTATTTTTCTGGCCGCCAAAGTATGTTAAAATCAATGATAATAAAATTTGCGATATCTCATTTCCGCTCAGAATGATCCCTATAAACGTGTAAACAACTTTAATTATCTGTCTCGGTGTAAAGTGTTTTGATACAACGCAAAACAATCATAAATCATGATTCTGAAGCAATATTGCGACATGCCTGTTGTTTGACTTGGAATTCGAAATCGCCTTTCAATGGTAGTCAATGTGATAACAAAGTACGTGCTACTGGCCGATTGGATTGTCCCCAGAAGTGCATACACCACAATGAACCATCGCGTTTTTGCGAATTTCTGCATCCATTGCGGATGCCAGGAAAAGTATGATGTTCCACAACCATTCATTTTTTCCTTTGCATAGATTAGACTCACTTTTCAAATGAAACTATTCGAAATACTGTTTTACTTGATCCAGATAAAAATCACAGCGCATAGTTGTATTAAATTCACTTCTGATGAAATGCGCAGGGATTTCAACTTCGATATATTTTTATCATGCACTTACGAATTAGGCGGGAGTAAAAAAAAAAACGTTCTAAAGAAGAACACTACGTACAAATGTTTGCAATGAAATGAAAATAATGAACTTGATTCTTTTTGTGATCGAACCTTTGGTCTATATATTTCGTTTGGCTTGTTCTTTATTCGGAGTAGTCTTCCGTTTATAAAACGAATATCAAGCTCAAATTGGCGAATGGCTTATCGTCGTCAAACCAATTGAACTACTGAATGTGGTGATGAGCTTGAAGACCATTATTAACTGCAATCAGTCACTTTAGATTACAAAGATCAAATAGCGGCTGACATCACCGTAATATCGTTAATCTTTGTGTCGCAAGTATAAATTCAATTGTAGGTATACATTGAGTCATTTAACTTGATAATCATCACATCAATGGCCAGTGGCCACTCTGACGCAGTAAACTAACCGCAAACAAAACAAACCGACGATGGACGAAATAATGTATTGCTATAGAATGTGTCAACGGACAACGAAAGCGGAATCAAAGAATGGTTCCATTTATTTTGCCTCATTTTTTTCTGATTCATATTAAGTGAGAGCATAGAGCTTCATAAAATTGATCATTTTACACTATACAACCTAACTTTTTGAACGTTTGGACAAAAATATCGACCAAAATTTACACTATTGTAGTACACTATTTCTACTTGCATGTAAGTGTTATTGTCGGAATCAAATCCAAAAGTACGCTGAAAAAAATGCTTGTTGCCAGCATTTTACTCGCAAAATCTGTTCCCACGCTTACAATATTATGATTTATGGGAGCCTCATTTTATTTTCGAAAATGAAAACAATCCAAATACAAGTGGCCCACAAATCGACTGAATAAAGTCCAATTTTGGACATTCGCACAATTCATTCATGACAAAATTGGCGCGAGTAGTTCTAAACACAGAACACATTGACTTTTTAGTTTTTTTTTTCAAACATTTTTGAGTTAGTTATCAATAGAAGCTCTCCGCAACGACAACACCTTTATGCTATGGCCTGTCGAAACGAAATACCTTTCGTCAGTATTTTTTTATCTTATCCGTTCGTCACCTTTCGTATCTTATCGCAGATAAAGACAAAAAAATATATAGTATTTTTCAGCTTTGTTTTATTCGGGCGTGTTTCACTAGCAGTTCAGTGTTTTTAGTCATTCTTTTCAAACGAAATTAGTCATTTCCCATATTTTCGCAGAAATTTCATCAAAAATTTGTGAAGAGATCGTTCATCGATATGGTCATTTGATTTTGTGAGAGTGAATTTGTGAAAAAAAAATGAGACCAACATCACTTGATAGATTTCGGGTAACAAGCCCACGACCTGCATACGAAGCTAATGCGAATAATGTCAATGAAGGTGTGTTCTGAAGAAAAAAAGTATTGGTGTTGTGAAATCATTCAATCTAATATCATTTGTAGATTCCGTGGATTGTGGCATTAAAGTACTGAGGTGTTGCAATACACCACGATGGAAAAAACTTGGAACAACGAAAACATTTTTAATCGTTCTCATCTTACTCGCTATCGTTCAAGGAATTTCAGAAAAGTTCATTTCGATTTCCGCTAATCAAGCAGCATTGGAACATGACTATGACCCAGATATCATTGGTAAGGCACCGAATGAATGCGTCAACTGAGACATCAAACACACTTCCGAACAATTTTGTGATGAAATATGTGACTTTAAACTCAAAAAAAACCTTTTTCACTCAATATTTCTAGAGTGGTTACTCGTCTCCAACGGAATCATTCAGGGTATCTTCGCCATATTGATTGCTTACTGGGGCAATCGAATACATAAAATAACATGGTTTTGTGGAATGATTGTTTTTCAATCGTTCACTTGTTTGTTGATCATTTTCCCGACTTTATTGCATAATGAAAGGTAATTTGATCAGAAAATATGTAACGATAACCTATAATGTCATATGGAATGAAAGAAATAACATTCTTTTCTCTTTCATAGCACCCCGATTGAGTCAACGTTTAATCTTCATTCCGTGAATTTGTTGTGCACAAATCACACATCAGAGAGTTTATCAATGCCAGTTATTTCGCATGGAATCACCACATTGATTGGATTATTTTTGCTTCAAACTGGCATTTCCTACGGATTCATTGCGTTCTATACGCTTGGATTGACTTATTTGGACGATAATGCAATGGAACATAATTTTCCGGCATTGATTGGTGCCGCTTTAGCTGGACGATACCTTGGTTTCTGCTTGGGCAACCTTTTATCGTTTCTAACTCATGGAGTATCATTGGGATGGTGGCTAGGCTGGGCTATTTTGAGTCCAATCCTATTCATTTTGGCCATATTCATCGGACTGTATCCACGTAAAATGATTGAATCGGTTGTTCGACAAGCAGCTGATACAATCGTTGAAACCGCAACCAATAGCAGTCAACTGTCTTTATCTCGCACCAAATTCCTGTCAGACATTTCATTTTTCAGCTCCATCTCAAGACTATTCCGAAACAAAATCTTATTGCTCAACATATTTGCGACGGTTTTCATTCAAACGGCTTTAATAAACTTCACACTGCAACAAGACAATTATTTGCAGTCACGATTTCTGATGCCAGCCGATGGTTCGAATATTCTGAACAACGAATGGACATCGAGAACACTGTCGAAACTCATACAACCGATTTTAGTTGGATTAGCCGTTTTGATCGGTGGATTGATTATCGCTAAAGCAACACCAAGTCCAAGGTATAAATATATCGAGAAATAGTAACAATTACCTACCTATTATTAAAATCACATTTCAAAATATTAAGTTAGTAGCGATTCAATCAATATTTACCCACATATGCGTAACCTAATTTCATTTTCCATCGAATATTTCGACAGAAAAATCGTTGTTTGGAATTTGATAACCGCTTTGATTGTTTGTTTGCTTTTCGTCGGTTTTATTTTCATCGAATGTTCGCACAATTCAATTGCCGGTGCATTTGGAAATAGGCTGATTCAACCGTATTGTTCTCGAAGCTGTATTTGTGATTCCGATCTACGATTCACGCCTGTGTGCCCACAAAATAGTACAAAAACCTTCTTTGCTCCGTGTCATGCGGGCTGTAGTTCAGATCAAATCGTCAATGGTCAACGAACTTTCGGCGATTGTTCATGTGGAGCGAATTCAGATGAAACGTTGATTAATGACGGAGTCATTTTTGCCACTGAAGGTGCATGCGGCTATGAAAACTGTCAGAAAATGTGGATTATTTTTCAAGCTTTAGTTGCATTTGGAATGGTTTGCATCGGCAGTCGTTTGGTGGGTAAAATTTTAATTTCAATTCGAAGTGTTTTGTCACAAGACACAGCAATCGCATTGGCATTGGAATTGACGTTCGTTGGATTGATCGCGTACATTCCTGGAAAAATGGCTTACGAATACATTGCTGGTGAGTGCGTGCGTTATCAGCCTCGATAAGTGCTTTGAACATATTGATTACGATTCTCGTTTCAGATATAACATGTCAGTATTGGTCGCATACAAGTTCACTGTGCTACTTACACAATTCACAAGAGTTTGGCAACATCATCAACATTTTAAGTGCGGTGCTGTCGTTAGTTGCCGTTATTTTGGAATTTATCATACTGTTTTTCGTGAAGGATCTACAACTTTATGGAAATGAAGATGAACTACAATTGACAGCTGGAGAATTTCAACCTGTTTTAAGCACGAATAATAATGAAACAGACGGTGAGTTTGAATCGATTTTTAAATTTTATGATTGATTTTCAATGAAATTTTTTTAAATTTCAGCTGTTCCACCAGCAGAGTCTCATCTTCCACTTCTTATTGGTCGTGATCATCCATCGGAACCAACTTCGACACAGAGCCAACTACCGATAATTTCACAACCAATTCCAATTACAACAGTCGATGAAATTCCAACTCAGTCGGGAATTGTGACTCAAGTTAAGCAAACGTTAGCGAATCGTTTTGTGATGTCGTCGCAATCGTCATCCGTTCGATACAGTCCCGTTTATAAGAATCCAGAAAATCATATCGAAGAGTTGAATTTTCGTCTCAAGTCTATCAACGATCGTGTGTACAGCAATTTAAGTGACGATGGAAATGATGCCGTTGGTGGTCAGGTGCCTGATATCAATCCATCCGTTGGAAGTGATAATGAAAAAGAGTCCGAATTGAATATTCGACAATTAGAAAGTTCAGTCAGTTCATTGAGTGGATTGCCAAGCGGAAGCAGTACGGTGAACTCACCTGAAGCAGCGCGTAATCCCCAGAAATTAGCTAAAGATTGGCATATTGAACGATACGAAACCGATTTTTAACCCTAAATGACAATTTTCAGTTGCAATTAAGCACCAAACCTAGACATAACTTACCCAAATTAACATTAAGCCCCTAAGATAATACAATTGAAAACCTAAAAAAAAAGCTGCGGAACAATGACTTAATTCTAATTGAAAAATTAAAGACCATCACATTACTGTAGTAATTAATTTTATATAATTTATTTTTGTAATCATTTTTTTTTTGTTCTAATAATAATTTATGGGATACGATTTTTTTTTTCATCATTGATTATTTTTAGGGATGCAATTTTTTTTAATCATCTCTTCTTTTTTCAATATATTTACAAAAATTTCATTTTTTTTTTCAATGAAAAATGGAAAATAAACATTAAAATTACAATAATAGACATTTATGTTTTTAGTTAAAAGAAAAACTGAAAGAAAATGTACAAAATTACACAAAGAAAGATCAACTTTAGAAAAGTGTCAATTGATAAAATGAAAGGAAAAAGGAGTCGAATAGAAAGGGTGGGTAATCGGCTCGCAAATGGTGCACATATTCGTTGTTGTTGTTGTAGTGTAGCGTCCATCAGCTTCGGAGGGATTGTGAAACACTCTTTCTAATCACTCTCACTCTCTCGGCAAACGGTGATGACTGGAGAAAATAATACGGTGCAGTAGCAATAGCTGAACACAATGCAGTGATTCCAAGTTGATTTTGTTGAGCAGCAGTAATAAATTGTGTTTGTGTATGTGTGTGATAGTAGTAGTTCAATTGGAAATAGCCTGTTTCTAAACCTGGATGATCAAATAAAAATGAGTTTTCCATGTTCTCGCCTCAACATTTTGATTTTTTTTTTTGTGTGGCAAATTTGAGTCTTAAAGTCTATTAGTTCTTTTTTTTTCTAATACGAAAGCTTATGAATTGCGCTGCTTCGAAGCGTCACAACAAGCATTATATGGTATTGTGTTGCAGTGTTTCGTTCGTTCAGTTTTGGTATGATTTAAAAACATTGCCAATTTGAACAAATGCTACTGCTTTCTTAATTTTTTTTTTGTTTTTTTTTTTTTGGTTTGGGAATGATTTGTTTTTTTTTCTCGCATTCGACTCACAATTTCATACACCACTTAAAAATGTGCTGAAATGAGTATTTTTCCTCCGATTTATACAACTACATCTAAATTAATGATACAAAAATCAACTTTCAATTGAATTTATAAAATTCAAAAACAAAATTATATACCAATTTGATACAATCCAAGCGAATGTCTTACTTAAATTCAATATTTACATCCTTTTATAAAAAGGATTTTTCTTTCGTCTGTTTTTTTTTTCTCTCTAAAGAATTCATTTTTTACAATTGATGTTGATAACAATTCCGTAATTACTAAATAAATTTTACACACATTTGTTATTTCAATAATAATATATATTCTCTTTTCTTCCGACGAAGAAAATCAATTTTGACTGAGTGAACTCAGCCAAAATAAAGTCTTGTTAAGGAAACGAAACAAAACAAAAACAAAATGTTGTCCTCCATTCTCATCTCATACACTCAAAATACAATTGTGTCAATTTAGCAAATAAACATTGTTATTGCATCTTTTGTAATGCCTTAGCTAAGTCTATTCAAATGATCAATTAAAAAAAGAAAGAAAAACGAAATCGATGTGTATCGTCACATAAAATCACAGCTGATATCACAGTTTGGTTTCATTAGTGGAAAAATACATTTGGTTTTTGTTTACTCTCTGCTTTTGGTACATTTATTCATCATTTCACATTGTTTTGTTTTCGTCTCGATCGGTTTGTAAAACTTAAGTGGAAGTGTTAACATTTTGCAACAGAAACGGAAATTCTATTCATTTTTGTCGATAAAATTCATTCATGTTCGATATTAAGAAAAAAATAATTATTCACTATTCAAATTGAAATTCATGAGAGAAATACAATGATTGGCTTCTTATACGTAGGTATCTTTGAATTGAACTCAGAATAACAACTTAATCGTTTAAAATATTGTTTTTTTCTTCATCAAATGATTGATGCTTTACTCCAACTACTCAATATATGTCCACTAAACTGACTCTTATGTTGGAAAAAAAAAAACAGGAAGAAAACAAAAAGAAATCGATACCATATCTAAACAGTAATTGAAAGTACCTTTTCAGTTCTCCACGTCTTTTTACTTGTTTTCCATGTCTTGGTCATTGCACCAAGTCGCAGATGAATCGGCTTCTTTGATGCGGCCGCTGCCGCTGCAGATGCTGCTGTTGATACACTGTCACTTGGCGGTGATGCACGTTTTTCTATCACCGTCGATTGGAGACTCTTCGCTTCGGCAACTAAACGAAATTGAATAGATAATTTAATTCGAATTCGGAAAAATTAAAAATTCAATTGGAAGATAGACTTTTATCGATTCCATATCGATGAGACATACTAAATTTTTGAAAAGTGAATGAACACAAGACTTGAAAATTGAAAATTCTATCGAAAAAAAGAAATCTTATAAAAATGTCAATAAAATGCCAATCATCTTACTCTTCTCGGTTGATTTTGAAGAACGTTTTAGTTGTACCGCATTGCGTTTTTCGCCGTTTCCTTTGCCTCTCACGTCCGTCGATTTTTCTGTTGCAAATTACATTTTTATTAGAATTGTCATGTGTAAAGACTTTTCCAATCGAAATATCCATTGTTAAAACGTTAAATGTTTACCTGCATCTGGTGACCTAGACTTTGGTTCTTTGTCATCAACTGTTGTGAACGTTTGTTTGAATAGTTTGCGATCACCTTTACCATTGGTATCATTGGTTGGTTCGTCTTTCTTTCGACTGTCTTCGTTTTTTGAATTTTTCCACGAGCCACTTGATTTTGGTTTGCTAGATTCATGTTCACGCTCTCTATCTACTCTACCACGGTCACGGTCTCTTCTATCTCTATCCCGTTCTCCGCGCTCTCCCCGTTCTCTGTCTCTATTTTCTCGTTCTTTATTATCTCTATCATCTCGTCGGAATCTTCGGTCATCTCTTCGATTGCGATTATGTCTATCGTTGTCTCTACGTGCACCTCCTCTTCTCTGTGCCTGATTTGCATCCGCCTGTAGTTCATCCAGATCACGTAATAGTACATCAGCTGGTGCTGTGGTCGTTTTGCCTAATTCCGAGAATGAAACCACTGGCACATTTAGCTTCCGTTCGCTCTTACTCGAGCTCAATTTGAATCGTCCTTCATTCTCCGATTCACTCTCTTCCGATGCGAAAAGGTCAATGCCATCATTGTTGTTGTCGTCATCAGAATTCTCGCTGTCAGACGATGCAAGTAATTCATCTTCCATTTCATGCTTTGTCTTTTCATTTGTCATTTCTTCATTCGAGTCAATCTCATTATTCTTCGAAACGTCTTCCATTGGCTGGTCATTGCGTTCCAATTGCGATTCCTTTTCGTTCGATTTATTCGAGCTCGGTCCATTTTTCACGTGATTTCTCGCCGGTGATCTGCATTTGTGATGATTTGCGGGTGAATGTGAGCGACGATGTTGCAACAACGTCGACGGAGATCCAGATCTTCGATTGTGATTACGATTGCGTGCTCCGCCATGGCCTGGTTTAGTACTGTTATTCGAGTTATTGAAGCGTTTGCCGGGTGGCGTTCGACGTGGTGGTCTATTCGTATTGGTTCTAGGATATTTACGATTTGGTGATCGACTCAAAGTGCGTCGTCTTACATCAGATTTGGTGGCATTCAAAGGAGATCGTGTACGTCGTCGTCGTTCGTCTGCACGTGGTGATCCAGACTTTCTCAAATGTGTACCATTGTCACGTTGTGTCGATGGAGCGGGCCATGTTCGTGACGGGTGTCGATTGGTCGCTGGTGAATTGGCTCTTCGATTCGGTGGTGGAGTGCGCCGTTCCGAGCGATGAGCATTACCATCGAAATTGGTGCGTGCATTTGGAGATCGGGTTCGATTGCGTCGACTGTGCACGGATTGTGGTGAATTGCGTCGGCGTTGAGGTGAACGTGATACAGAACGATTTCGAAAGTGTGGCGAATGATTTGGATAGGCGGGTGAACGAGATTTGCTTGAACGTCGATATTTCCAACCATCCGGTGATGGTGATCTTGACCAGCGACCCGGTGATTTTCGAAACGAAACTGGTGAATGTGATGGTGATATTCCCTGTCTTCGTTTGATAATTTGCTTATTTTCATTGACAAACGCAGCACTGCGTGGCGACAACTGCACATTTGTAATTGGATCAAAGATGGGCGCTATGGGTGCGGCTCCAAATGGAACATATTCATTGAATGGATGTGGTTGTGGATTCAGTCTTCGTGGTAGATATGATTCACTAATTTCCATCTTTTCAAAGCCTGAATTTACATATGGTGGCACAGGGTGATGAATGAGATTTGGTTGAATGCGATCGGATTCACAAGGTGTATAGAATTTATCAACCGTTGGCCGAATATTACTCACAACTGGAATAATATGATTCACTACCACCACATTATTCACGGGCTTAGCAGCTGGCACATTTTCTTTTTTCAATGATTTCAACGCGGCCAATCGCAACAATTCCAAATCTTCTTCGTCTTCCATTGGTTCAATAATTCTCTGTAAATACACAAGCACGAAGGAGAGAAAACAAAATTAATTTCCTATCCAAAAAAAAAAACGTAAACACGTGTGTGTAGGTGATGCAATTGTAAACACTGCCACACGAAAACAACAAACAATTCAAGTATGGCCTATTGACGATAAAGGTCACACAAGGGACGCGCGCTTACTTTATTTTTTTTCTCCATAAAATTGAATGCTTCGGGAATAATTTTGACGACTTTTTCTTTTCCAATTGTGTTATTTAAATGTTTTCAATTTTTATTTAATACAAAAATGCACGCAGTTTATCGTCCAACGTTTGAAAATCGTAGCAATTGTTCGCACTCTATTGTTCGCCCATGCAAAATACCATACAACTTTCACTGTGCGGCCATCTTGCAATCGCTTTTTCAATGGAATTCTTTGCCTTTAATATTTAATGCGTATTTTTCAAGCGCTCGTTCTGCCCGAAATCACACATCAAACTTGGTTTAAAAAAAATGATAAAATCACAATCACAAATGATAATGGATGCAGTTAATTTGTTAATGGTCTTACTAAATAACTAAGTTTTATTTTAAAAAAAATACAATCAATTTTTTTTCTCTCTCTCTCTATTGTCCCAAATGGACACAGAAATGATGCAGTCGTGGTTCTTTTTTTGGTGCGACTAAATATATAATTTATACGTCTGACATTTCGCCCTAATAGCATTTCGAAATTGGATTGCCAGCTGCTATGCTCACTGTCTGTCTACACACCGTGCAACACCGGGCAACACTGGTCGAATCTCCAAAGTGACAGCTGTCTATACGATTTCACATTCTCACATTGGTTTTCAATCGTTCAACACAGAAAGTTCAGAGCATCCGTGCATTTTTTGTAACGAACAAATTAGATTTAAATTTTCAATCAAACCGACAATGTGATGTCACACACAATTTACATATTCCATACTGGCCAAATTCAACCGGTTGCATAGAATCCAAAGAAAAAATCCCGTCGTTTCAATGACCACGGAATTGCGCCAAAAATTGTGTCCATTTTCACCAATTTTCATTATTGTTCTTTTTTGGTATATCTAAATTTAGATATTTTGCAGCTGTTTCACAGTGATTGGAGTGTTTTTTTTTTCAAAAATTTTGTGAATTTAGTATGAGCAATATGTTTATCCATAGGTGCGTTGTACTCAACGAAACATGTTCATACATGTTTATTGGATCGTTCTCATGTGTGCAATATATATGCTAATTACTTTCTTTGTTATTGTAGGTGGCTAACGTTCATCGCAGTAGGCAGCTGCACAGCACACATTGTGCATTGCTCATTCTTTGACTACTTCAGACTTACCAAACCAAGTAGGCACATTTCTATGCTAATTTATTCCGTTTCTTTATTTTTTTTATTTTTTGTGTTTCTTTTATTCCATTTTGGTTTCCTTTGATTTCACACATTTTTTGTTTTTTTTTCATAGATTTGCTTGGCACTGAAGTCGACGCGCCCATTATACCGTATGAAATAGCAAAGAGTGATGAGAAATTCTTGCAAGAAGCATCAAAATTGATCGGGGTGAATTTATCTGAGCTGGACTTGTGTCATCACCGTGTAGTTTTGAAATTGCGCAACAATTGCCATGAGTTAAATGCAGAGCAATTGGGCAAATTGGCGGTCATGTAAGATAACTTATTTTAATAGATTCTGTATTTTATTTAGCTATTTTCTTTCTGTTTGAAATAAATCTATATATTTTGAATAGGCTATTGAACTGCCAATCGAATTCAGAGGGGCGGACACTGTTTGAGTGTACCGAAAATATGTCGCTGAAAGAATGCACGTCTGACATGGACTCAGACACATGGAACGCATATCATTTGATCACGAATCGGGCGAAAGCTGTTTGTGTCGCTACAAGGCACGAACAATTCAGAGGATTAACGGAAATAACCGTGAACAAGCTCATGTCCAGCGGTGAGTCAATTGATTATTTTCAGTTTTTTTTCAATTTTTTGTTGGTTTTTTAAAAAAATAATTTCTTGGTTTTTCTTTAACAATTTCGGTGAAAATAATTAGGCATCATCATTTATTATTTAAAAAAAAAAACTCAATCAATTATTTTAAAATAAAAATTGTCAATCAATTCCGAAAAAAAACTCATGATAATTAAAAATTTGCCCTAAAAAGACGTCCAACTAAAAAAAATCAATATATTTGCAGCTCAAAACCAAATTGCGATGATGAAGCAATTGTCAGAGAATCAGGATACATTGCGAGAGCTCACATCACAAGCCATGGATGATTTGGCCGACAAAAATGAGAAAGTTATCGACCAACAAAAGGAAATTCTGCAAGTGTCCAATTCACACCGCGCCCTTGTCGAGGGAAATTTGCATGATTTGATGCGAGAAAAGGCTTTGATTCGATCTGGCCAAGTGGAAGTGGCCCGAATGATTGAAACATTAAAAACCAAACTCGATGAGAGTGTCACGAATTTAAAGCAACAATCGAAGCAAATGAAGGATAACCAAGCTGCCTTATTAGACGATCTAAGCAATCTACAAACGAATGCTTTTCACATATCTGACAAATTAAGCGACACCACTGAATACATATTATCGCAAAATGAAATCGCTTCGACTCAATTCGATCAAACCATTCAACGCTTGACTGAAATCAATCTCACAATTGATAAGCTACAAAAGTTGATGAATACCTTGGAAAGTAGCGTAGATGAAAAATTAACTTGGATCAGTAGCAAATTAGGTGGTACGGATGAAGCATTGACAAATATCAATATGATTCTGCAACACTTGGGGTATTTGCTATTCGGAATGCTACTATTGACATTCGTTAATGCGTCCGCATTCTATCGTCTATTTTTCATACTTGCCGTACCGTTGAACTTCATTTGTATACTGTTCGAGTGGCGAAATGTAAGCCTCATCGAATTGTCCCAAATTTTAGGCGCTGTATTTGCCTGCGGTATAACCCGTCAGATTCTATGGAATGTTAATTTAAAGAATCCATTTGTTCTCAACAAGAAGAATGGATCGGTAAAAACCAAAGCAAACTCACAGAAACAAGCAGAGACTGAACGAGAAGCATCACAAGAAGAAGGATACGATGAATTTGATGGGAATGAGTATCGACGCAACAATAACAACGACTATAGTTTTGATCTTTTGAGTGCGTTCAAGAAACGCCATCGCGAAGGGTCAATCACACCATCACTGGCGAGCAATCAAAGCTTCGACGCACGCAGCCTCACACCTTTCTCCATATCTCTAAACGATCGTACACGTTGTATAGCGCTCACGGTCAAAGGAGATAGATGCAGAAATGCAGCCGTTTCAAACCAAATCTATTGCCGTCGACACGAGAAATAAATGAAACACATTCGCATTCAGATGGCTCATATATATTCCATTCGTAAATTTTGATACCAGTGAACAATATTACCACATTTACCGATGCTTATCGTATTAAGATTTCTTTTAAATTTAAAATTAATTTTAGCTATAACTTATTTCATGGATTGCGTTGCGAAGTTTTGCATGGACTTAATACCAGTGTATTTAAGTAGTTAGACCATTATTTTTTTTTTTAACAAATTCTGTATTTTATTTTGCTGTTTTTTCTTCTGTTTGAATAAAATCTATATATTTTGGTTGTTTCAATTAGGCATTAATTTATTATTGTAATTTGTGTTTAATTTAATAAAAGTGGAAAATTTGATTTGGTTTTGCATTTTTTTTTAAATAAAGAATAAAACAATTCTTATGCATTTTGATTTAAAAAAAAAAAAGCCAAATTTGATAGAATCGTACACCCGCACGTACAACTGATGATGACTTGTTGAATTTTTCGAAGGAAACAGTGTTGTTTGAAGGACACAAATTGCTATATCTTTTGACCAAGTGCCAAATCATCTTTTCACATTCAAAAAACTGAATCTCAATTTCTTTGCTTACTTTTCTATTGATTTCCCATCATTATTTCCCTTTGTGAACCATTCACAATTATTTTCACGTCAAATTAACCGCGTAAAAAGTGATTTTTAAACCAAAAGTAATTTGTGAGCAAAAAGTAATCGAGAAGTAATTGTGGAATTTCGAAAAGTAATTTGTTGTGACCAAATGGAATTTTGAACTAAAATCATGCTTAATTCTTCTTTGAAAAATAATTTTTGCTACTATCATGTTGCAAGCAAATGCTGTAAAATTCCATTTTTATTGTATTATCATCGAAAAATCATTTCAATAATAGAAATAATTAGCTACTGATTTCAAATCAAAACGTTTAAAGAGACTTTCCTGCTGGCAAAACTCTCCACTGAGAAGTGACATTGTGAACAGTCTGTCAAACGTCATGCTTTGTTTATGTCATCTAGTACGTTGTGTCATATTTTGGTTTGACGTTTCAGTCGCATTCCCACAAATAACAACACGTGCACATTTGTTAGAACAGCACGACTGAATAGGAAATCCGAAGAAAAAATTGGATCTTGATTTATTTCTACGAAACGAGTGAATTCAAATAGTTCAAAATGGTAAGAATTCATACTTGGAAGAGTGTTTCATTGAAATAAGGGATAAATTTAATCTATTTCCATCATTTTTGTGTGTATTATAGGCATTTGACGAGTTGCCCGGTTTCGATTTGCCCGACGCATCGAATTCAAGCGAATGGAAGGATAAAGCGAAACCACCCAAAGCCAAAGGTGGTTTTCAAGTGATGGGTTTGAGTTTCAACGTGATAAAAGGCATCACGAAGCGTGGATATAAAATACCAACGCCAGTACAAAGGAAAACCATTCCGATGATTTTGGAAGGAAGAAATGTAGTTGCGATGGCCAAAACAGGTGAGGAAATAGTTCATGCTTCCAGAGTGAAACGGAATCTTAATGCAAATTCTTTACAGGTTCGGGTAAAACGGCATGTTTCTTGATTCCATTGTTTGAGAAACTGAAAGCACGTCAAGGTAACACAAATGCTAGAGCATTGATTTTATCACCAACGCGTGAGTTGGCCGTGCAAACGTTTAAATTCATCAAGGAAATTGGCAAATACATGGATTTACAGACGATTCTAGTGCTCGGAGGAGATCCAATCAACTCACAGTTCCAAGCCATGCACACATGCCCCGATATCATCGTGGCGACACCGGGTCGTTTTCTGCATTTGTGCGTCGAAATGGACTTGAAATTATCGTCAATTGGTGAGCTTTACTGTTTTAACTTCAATTTTCCAATTCTCTTTCAATTATCATGACTGGCAATAAGGAATTAGGCACATTTTTCTTCCATTCCAACTGATTTTCTTGTATTTGTTTACGGTTTCATTCCAGAATACGTCGTTTTCGACGAAGCCGATCGACTTTTCGAAATGGGTTTCGGAGAGCAACTCAATGAAACATTGAATCGATTGCCTGAATCAAAGCAAATGGTCATGTTCAGTGCCACCTTGCCAAAAATGCTGGTCGATTTTGCAAAGGCCGGATTGAACGATCCAGTGCTCATTCGTCTTGGTAAGTTTCATTTCTTCTTCAAATATATTCCATTTACTTTCAATGAACTGATTGCATTGCAAAACTTCATCCAATTCCAGATGTGGATTCGAAGCTGCCAGAAAAATTGAGCCTCAAGTTCGTTCACATTCGTCCAGATGAACGATATTCAGCTTTGATATCCATATTGAAGTATATCGTGAACGAAGGCTCCCAAACAGTTGTGTTTGTCGCAACACAACATCATGTGGAATTGGTTTCATATGTAAGTATTAGATTGAATTTGATTCAAAGCCATTTTTAGAACATTGAAGAGTCAATTCAAAGATTTTCCACTCAAATCGATCAACACTTTGGAGAGAAAGTATCAAAATCTAATCAAAACCCCTTCATTACAGGTATTGAATCAAGCGAAAATTTCGAATACGTTCATCTATTCGAGCATGGATCCATCGGCTCGAAAGATTAACACAGCACGTTTCCGATTGAACAAAGTGTCCGTGTTAATTGTAACCGATATCGCAGCTCGTGGTATCGATATTCCCCAGTTGGATTATGTGGTGAACGTTCACTTTCCAGGCAAACCAAAGCTCTTCGTTCATCGAGTCGGTTAGTATTACAAACACATGGAATTTTGCTTGTTCATTTTCAGTCTCTTGGTTTTGATATTGATTCCAAGCAATGACCATACTGAAAAAGCATTTTGATTCTGGATTAAGAAACTTTTTTGATTTGAAAACAAATTTTTATATTCGAATTTCAGGTCGTTGTGCTAGAGCAGGTCGACATGGTACAGCCTTTTCGCTGGTATCAACCGATGACGAAGCGCATCTTTTGGATTTGTATCTCTTTTTGAATAGAACATTCGATATCAAGAAGACAAGTGAGATCGGAACAGTTCCGCCGGAGGTACTTGAAGATGAACATGAAGCGGTTTTGAGATGGCTCGCAAATCAACACATTGTAAGCCACATTTCCATGCGATATTTTGCTTTATATTCTAAAGAGTGTGCACTGTGCATGAAACTTTGTATAACTCAATGACCTTTCATTTGTTATAAAAATGTGTTTTATCTTTGGTTTCATAGTCAGGTGTGTTGAACACGGCCACAAATGCGTACAAGAAGTATTTGAGCACAAGGCCCGTAGCATCGGCGGATGCCAACAAAAGAGTGAAAGCGATCAACTTCAACATGATCCCGGCATTGCATGATTTCAACGAATATTTGTTCGGCGACAAGGCCGACGAGAAGAAAGATGCATTGCACGTCAGTCTTTTGACCAAAATGCAGAGCTATCGGCCATCAGGGGTGAGTTACATTCCAATTCGAAATACATTAATAACTCTGAGTTGCATTTTAATTGACAAAGTCGAATTTTTCTCTTCGAATCATAGACAATTTTCGAATTGAATACGCATCAAAATTCAACACAGAGCGAAGTGATGAAGAACAAGCGTCGAGAGCATGGTAAACTCATTGAAAAATTCCAAGAGAAATCCCAACAAGACGAAGTTGTTCGACATGATTTGATCGATACGATGGAGGTGAGTGGAAAAATGGAGATTTTTGACTTTCATTGAACGTATTTGAAATGAATGAAACATGTGAATTTCCACAGAATCTGTTGCCAAAGTCAACTGACACCGAAATTAGTTCGACATTTTCGAAAGTGGTTTCGGAGCGAAAGCGAAACATCGATCAGTTGTATGATAACAAGAAGAAAATGAAGAAAATCAAAATGAAGCGGTTGAAAAAGGCGAAATTGGCGAAGTCAATTCGTGACACAGAGAATTACATCCCATATCATTCGAGTGATAAGCACACCGAAGAGGGTCTCGCGATAAATTCATTCGAGCGACAGGCTCAAAATGCTGAATTGAGCATATCAACCAATACACAGGATATGCACTACAAACCGGGCCAGAAGAAATGGGATCGAATTAAGAAGAAAATGGTATCGGTGGAAAATCCAAAGGCAGGCAAAATTCGTACGGAATCCGGTATTTGGATTCCGGCCACTTACAAAACAGGCCGTTATGCCGATTGGAAAGAGAAAACGAAGACAGAAGACATGGTCCATCAAGAGATGGGTCTTGAAGGTTTGTACAATGAATTGAGAAATTGCATGACGAATTTTGTTTCTAAAACTCGTTATTCTGTGTATTTTTAGCTCCTAAACGTACAGAGGAAGCAATAACAACGCAATGGAAGCGTCACAATCTAAAAGAGGAGATAAAGAAACGAGCCGGTGGCAAGACGGGCGAAATGAAGACAACAGACCAAATTGTGCGTGAACGTCTTCGACTTGAACTCATTAAGAATCGCGAGAAAGTAAACAAGAAGGTCAAGGATCATAACCGAAAACGTAGCGCCAGACAACAAAAGAATAAACAACGCAGATAGACAACATATGGTTTACATAATTTCGAAATTTGCTTTTTATCGTCGAATTGAAAGGAAAGTTCAAAATAAAGTTATATTGTAATATTTGAATACCTGTTTAAAAAATGCATTTAAGAATATTTTAAACCTAAAAATCGCGTTTAATTTAACATTCTATAGCATAGAGAATTCAAATCGATTAGTCTTATTATTGGCTATAGAAGTGTTTTATTCGAATATGGGGATAGAACTGTTCAATATCGATTTTTTAATGATACAGTAAAGAAGAAAGAATGTTGTAGGACAATTGAAAATACATAAGGCACACACATGATATCTAGATAATTATTCAAGAAGTAAGCAACATTCTGGTCGCAGCGGATGCTTCGAAAATGGGTACGAATTGGTGCGTTTAATTTCCACTAAACCATAGCTGTTTGTTGATGAGTTATTCTTTATTTGCAGATAATATTTTTCATCCAGATAAATCGTTAGTTTGCATGCATTTTCCAGTTCACGACGCTCCTTATTCAGTTTTTGAAGTGTAGCTGTAGTCTTGATATCATCTAAAAAACGCTTTATATACAGACATTTTAGTTTTTGTGAGTATCGCACAATGGGGATGATGTCATCGATGTTTCTTGTGTTTGTGTGGAACTCTTCAAGTTGAAATAGATGCTGTGTTAGGACCTTGAAATCATGTGCACACGGTGAAGCCGGGTAAAACACTAAAAATTTTAAATTTGACAGAGAAGTAATTGCATTCAATACTTCATGATCTTTTATGGACACTCTACCGGAAAATTGTAAGCCTTCCAGTAATTTAAGTGTGGAAAACTTCGACAAGAATGAAATGTCTTTCGTGCTTATTCTCAGGTGTAATTTCTTGATCTGATGATTTTTGTACAGAGCGTGGACATTTTCGATGATTTGATCAATGTTTTCAAATCGTTTGGCTTTTATCGTCAACACCAAATCATCGAACTTGATCCCTGTTTCAAGTAGCCACTGTGTTGTATCGTTCGGTGCATCTGATGAGAATACTTTTATGTTTGGATGTCGCTTGAAAAAGTTCTCCATTTCTATCATATTGGGTATTTTACAATTGTCCCAGTGCTCCCAGTCAATCTGTTTAAGCGTGGGATAATTTCCCAATAGTGGAGGAGCATGTTCACCACAAATGAAATAGATTAAATACTCAAGATTGGTGAAGTGTTGTAGAAAACCATCGAATAGTTCGCGAACAAAAATCGCTTTAATATTTTTCAGTAACTTTCTTGAGTTGATATCGCTTAGATCCGGATTGAATCTTTGCGGACGAATTAATGTCAGAATCTTAACATGTTTTGAATTTTCACTGAATTTCCGACACATATTGATGACACTTTCTATCGGATTATACACCAACACGCCTTGAAACAAGGAAGCAAAAGATAGAAAATATTTTGTACCAGTATTACTATGTTCATAATATGTTCTTCGATAATGCTCATTAGCCAGTAAGTATAACCGCTTGCATGTCACTTTGACCCTACACAATTCAGCTATTGAGAGCCAGTCAAACACCGAGCTGATGCATTCGTCATCCATAGAATGAAATTTAGTTTTTGATCGTCTATTTTGATCGTTCAACATCGATTGAACATCATGATCAACACTTTTCTCGGCTGCACTCATTTTAGTGTGTCGACTCCAAGGGAAAGAAAATCGTTGTTTTGATGCACTATTTACACTGTTTTTCGAATTTTCAATTATATATTACGACAATTGTATTAGGAGAACTGCACTTTTAGCAATTTTTCTGCAAATTCGACGCAAAATCTTGTCTGGCAAAAGATTGAAAAAAAGACGTCTGTTTGTATCGACGTTTCGAAATGAACTGATTTAAATAAAACTTGCGAAAATAGATGCTCTTTTAGATGAAATTTCATACAAATACACATCAGGTAGCAATAACTGTCAATGTTTTGTTTTATTTGAATACAAAAAAAAATCTCAAAGCATACAGTTCATAATTACACCTATAAGGAAAATCCTTTGCGAGAAATATCTTCTTAATTTTTATGAGCTGTCGTCAGCAAATAGCCATCCTGTAGACTCATTACGGGATTATAGAAACAGTTGTCATTTATTCGTGTCAACATTTGCGTTTTTTATTTAAACACTCAAGACGTTCTACACCCAACATTCGAATGTTTGCAATATCCGATAAACTTCATTTTTCACTGTATGAAATTCTCAATTTTTTTTGTGGTTTTTGACTAAATTTGTACTCAGAAAAACAGTTCAATTAACACTTGTTGAAATTATGCTACTGACTTAATCATAAATATTTATTTTCATGTCAACTTCAAATAATTGTGAATAAGATGGGAAGAATGACTGGTTTGGTAACGTAATTTCAAACCACTGCATTGTTTGAGAGTTTTTGCAAAAAAACGTTCTTATGAACAAATAGTATGATAACATATTCGATTACGGAATGTACTTATAGAACTGCCAGCGCCATCTATTGAAAGTTAATCTACTAAATTTCCGTTGTTCATCTTTCGATTCATTTTACGGTTTACATTTCAAACACTTTCTGAAAGTGTACAATATTTCGTATTTTTCTTATTCAATAGCCTAATTTACATCGTTTGTCTTAATTCAAATTGAATTTCACAATTTGTTTCGCTGCATCGAAGCAATCACACGAATCCTATGCATGTGTTGATTTCATCCTTGTGGAACATCCATAGGAATATGACTTCATCGGCTGGATCATACATCAACCCATTTCCAGTCAGCGTTTGGTCCAGAAACAAATGACCACTTGGACAACACTGCAGATAGAACAAAAATTGTGCATTTTAAAATTAACGAAACAAAGGTTGATTCTGTGTGTGATTGGAACAATTTTGTCTGAACGGATTGAATATTTTGATTGTGGCCATGAAAATTGATAACTTACTGTCCATTCCGTTTTGCGCCAAATGATATTTTCACTGTTTTCATCTGGATATGCCGTAAAAAACTTGGCCCGAATCTCGTAAATGGAATCCTCTTCGCAAACTGTCAAGTGGCATTGTGTACCTGAAGGGAGAGAGGGTAATTTTATGTCATTTCATATATATCATGGACTAGAATTTATGGTACAAATGGCATATTGGCATGATTGTGGCAAAAATCGTATTGTTATCTGTTTCATTGTCTCATTATGCCCTAATCTCTGTGATAAAATCATGTTCAAATGGCAGCAATACCTTTTGCTTTGTTTCGCACACAAATGTGACGTTCCTGTGCGGTGATGCCACCAACAACGCAGATGGGATCATTCCACCAGTGTAAATCGTGCCTCTTTCCAAATTCGCTGGACGATTTCAAGTCAAACATTTCCAATTTATTCTGTGGCCGTTTCAAAAATAATTCCGACACATCGGAACCACCAAACATGTTCAATTGTTCCAGCGCCTGAATGAAAGATGACATAAACACTTGAATTATGTTTGTAAAATGAATATTGAATGAAATAAAATCTCGTCAAAATGAATATGATGTGATTTACCGATTGATTTTTGCCACTGGTGGGTAACTCGTCAATTGATTTCATGAGAGCAGACAGATCCAAGACTTTTCGATCGAGAATCAGCCAAAAATCGTCTCGTTTGATATGGCTTAATACCTCAAATGTACGATAATAGCACTTGTTGTACACTTTATCCACATTCACCTCGGTTCTCATGATGCGGTGTCCAAAGTAATTCTTCAGAATTGGTTAGCTACCACAAAAAAAAATTAGATCTTTTTCAAAAATCAAAGAAATGCGAGTTGAGACTGACTTAACCACGTGCTGTTGAACTAAACCAAAAAAAAAAAATCAAAGTGGTCGAAATGAAATATGAACCGCTATGCGCTCTTATGTCAACAGTGTTGACTCAACACAGCATCATATTTGCTCGTTCTGCTTCTCTTTCATTTCATGCACAAAACACACAGCAATCGATACTGCGACAGCGAAAATGACATCTCACACAAACACAGCGCCAATACATAGAAAACCGTATCAACATGAAATGGCAACAGTTTATATTGCGTCGTGCGTATCGGCCGAACGAAGAGTCACTTACAATCGCTAATTGATTCAGAGCTGTATAGACAGAGGGTGCACAGCAAATTTTATTGTGTCGTAATTGTAAAGTAATGTAATTTTTCTATATTTTCACCAAAAAAAAGCTAAAAAAAATTGTGTAGAAATGGCAATCAAAGGATTGGAACCATTCATAAAAAAAAATCCCAAGGAAAAGATCGCAAAGGATATAAATATCCGTGATGAAATCAAAGGCTGGCGAAAGTGAGTATTTTTTGTTGTAATGTGCAATTGTTTAAAGTCTTTGAAAAAAATGTTTGCTGAATGTTTGAAAATCAATTGCTCTACTAGGAAACATAACACCGTGCCAACGATCGTCATTTATCTCAATCATTTCATACAAATCTTGGCAAACATGGACAAAGGTTCGAATGACTTGATTCTGGGTGGTCGGTATGCAATTTACAATGAGAAAGTCAAATGTTTCTTCAATGAGCTGACGGCGTGTGGCGCAAACTTGGTGTTTTTCTGTCGGCCTTTCTTGAATGATCCGAAAGAGAATTTGATTTCAAAAGCATTTGCACTCGTTGAAAGGAAAAATTTGACAAAGTTTCGGAAAATTAAGGCAGAAATTGCGAATTTTTTTTTCATATGGCACCTTGACAAACGATTTTTGTACAATTTGGTCAACATTTGTGCAGACTACGGTCCAGTTTATACTCAGCTCTTTGGATTTTATGCCAAAATCACTGAGTATGCATCCGATCCATCCAATCATGTACTGGCTATGATTCAACATGATACTGACTTTTTGCTGTGTGACAGCAATTATCAGTACTGGAGTTTGGCCGACTTGGATTTCGAACGACTCACAACAAAGAAATACTGTCGCGACACTTTGTATCGACGGCTGCGCCTGACTACACCAGAGTGCCAATTGGTTGCTGGCATATCGAGAGTGCGAAGTAAAGGTTATATAACATTTCTTCGAGAGAAGATTCAAATCCGAGGCAAGGACAACGAAATCGCCTTCTTCAAGTGGGCTCATTACGTTAAGAATCTGAAAATCGGAAGCAACGGATGGAATGCAGGCCATTTGCTCCAAATTATCTACGATATTTATGGTAATAAATATGATTGTTATGAAGATAATTTGGAAGTTCTTCAACAAGAACTATCTCGATACAGACAGAATGAAAATGAGCTCGACAAAGTTGAACGCAATTCGTATGATTTTGTAAAGTTCTGCAGTGAAAATCTGTATTTTGCCTACGGTTTGATCATGGAAGATGTTACGACAAATCAAGCATTGGCATACATTGACTTGAACAAAGAAGACTCGTTGCGGTACGTCGATTTGGCCATCGCTATACTTCTGAAGCAATGCGGCATATTGCTCAAGGATCGTGAAATTGAAGCACGGCCTCAGACACGCATGATTAAAATAAAGCGACAAATTGATGAAAATGACAAGCAACGACTTGGTTTTGAAGCGAAAATTATTTATCCACCGAGTAAGTTGAATTGCAGTGCTACTATTGGCCACTTGTGTCATTATGCCTTCATTTTTTTTTTTGGTTCATTGCGATATTTTTCACATGCATGTTTGCTTCAATTGAATTGGGAGCTCTCACTGAATCATGATTGTCGAATTTTGTTCGTATTTAACTAATAATGATGCGTCGTTATCAAATGTTCTTGGTACAAAGAAGACTCACTTGGAATTTGATGTTTCGTTGATAAACGAAAAAATTGGTTTGCCAAATGAAATGTTTGCTATCTGATTACAATTTTCTTAGTACACATCAGGTCAGAGACATTGTTCCGAAATTTCTTTGTATGTTTGGTTTCACATACGTTTTTGAGGCTTCATTCTCCAGTCTCATACGCTGTAATGAATTATCTCAACAAGATTTTGAAATCTGAACTTTGCTGCGAGTTATGCACATTGCATATCGACGTCCGACTTAAATAAACTCACAGAAAATAAATTTATTTTCTTAAGAATGTCATCTATCCCATTGATGATTAAAAATAAACAATTTTCCATTGGTATTTGCTGTAAATTTTTTTCAAGTGGCCATTGGCTCAATCTCGTGGTCACAAAAGTAGCCGCACTGAAAAAAATTTGGACAGCATTACTACACTGCACTGATTTCAATAGAAACATTGCAATATTTGATAGATTTCAATTAAATCCGGTGTCATTTTGATTTCTATTTTCAATTTGTTCTTTCAGTGCCATTGCCGAGTCTCGAGAATCTGATAATGCGCGAGGATGTCTCGTCGTTCGATGAATCCCGGTGGTCACTCTTCGGATGGATTTTGGAGTTGAATGAAGAATGTATTTCTGCTATAAAGTCATCGATTGACTCAAAATACATACGGGCTGTTCTATTTACTTTGAGGCTCTTACGGAAGGTAAAATGTTTTTGACTTTAAACTGATTGTTTAAATCAATCAAAGCGAGATGTCTAACGAATTGTACTGATTTATAGCACTCATTCATCACAATTGATGAAGCTGAGGTAATTTTGCTCACCGAATCGGATGGTCAAAGTAAAAACAGAGCTGCTGTTTTTTTGCCAAACAGTTTTCGCGTCAAAGGATCATGGATTCATACGGCACATAAGTACACCGTCGCATTCGAAACGGTCTGCCACTGTCTAGAGATATGTGGTTTGCGCAAAGAAACGGTAAGTGCTTATCAACAAGAACTAGTGAAAAAGTGACTGACAATTTTGTTTTTCTTCTTTGCAGGACCTTATTCAATTCGACGCATTTGAATTCCATGAAAATATGCACCAAGCAGAACAAAGTCCCAACGATTTCACAGGGAATCTCAAACAAATACAGAACATTCGCTTGTTCTGATTTCTTTCGCCCATTTTTGATTTGTCTAGAGACATAGTTCGACACGATCAAATTGTTGTTGAACGAAAATCGAATTTACTCTTAAACTGATAATAATTGTTCCAAATAATCTTTTTCAATTTATCGAAGCCAGATCATGAATTTCCAACGCTATGAAGCGCAATGGTAATATATTCAGCAATTCCAAAACCTTTAAGAGTTGCTTTTGTCCCTATCGGAAGTTCACTGACTTGAATCATGAATAACGTTTGAAATGTCATTTCTTACAGACATTTCTGCATTTTTTATACTTCCAAACTAAACCGTATAGATGCCGTTAGAGCATGCATTGCTGAATATTTTCCATTTATAGCGCATATTGTTGTGAATTTCTATTAATTGATTTGTCGTAGAATGTATCGCGTTTCAGTAAACTGCACAATGAAGTGAGTGATAATGCTAGGAATCTGTCGCGATCAAGCAGTTTGATGAAATTGCAATCCATGAACTTCAAGCATGCTTATTCCAAATTATTCAGTGAATATAACGCGGCTGCATTCAGAATTGATCCGCAATTGTCCAACGTCAGATTGGCCATCGAGTAATTCAAAATGATCTTCTTCATCGATTCACTGAAGCCATATTGCTCGGCCAGATCATAAACTTCGATGATTTGATGGCTTTCCAAGCCGGCCAGCTATAGGCAACCAGTATGCATGTATTTCATAATCGTGTTCAATGGACATTTTTCAATTTGCCAGAGCAACAAACTACAAAAGAACTAATTAATAAAAATTCGATTGGCTTATATTTATTTGATACGCTAGAGCGTTCAACTACATTTGTCCTTTTCGAGAGTCGATTTTTTTTTTCATTATACACTGTGCTAGTATTAGGTACGGCTCCAGAAAAAGATCAAAACATAAGCTACACTTGATTTTCTATTGGGCAATAGAAATTTATTTCAATATTGAATTAATTTGTATATTTTGAATTGTTCGTATCAGTCAATGACAGATGGCTGAGGATATATGCTGAGCATAGAAACTCAGCAAGCTGAGATTGGGATATTTTGACTTTGTGACGTGCTATTCAAACCAATTTATGATGGAGGGGAGTTTGGAACACATTTTCCATTACACTCCATCAACACTCCACCAAAATTCCACATAAATTTGCACGAATAGCAAGTCACAAAATCCAAACGTCCCAATCTCAGCTTGCTGAGTTCCTATGCTCAGCATATATCCTCAGCTATCAGTCATTGACTGGTTCGTATGCTGTATTTACCAAATGATGTTTACATAATAGTCAGATATATGGAGTATTGTACTTTAATTTAATTTAAATAAAAGTAAATTTCAATATTCTTTGAAATGTTTGTGTTAGATTATGAAGAGTTTGAACAAAATGAATCAATTGCAGTCCAGTCGCTTGCGACGCCAACAGAAAAGTGATAAAAATTGGTGTTACCGATCTCAATCTACATCTCTCTTTGGTTGTGTATGTATCTCTATGTCTGTGTCATTTCGATTTTTTTTTTTGAATTCACATACTCAGAAATATTCTCATGCATATGTCATTGAGACGCTGGGTCATCATTCTGCAAACTCAATAAAATAAACAAAATATGAGCTTCAATTTGCTTTTCCATTCTCATCTGCAAATGTACGCATTTACAATCATAATTGGCGCCAAATGAGTTCACTTGTTTGTGTTTGAATGTAATCTTAGCCAATCTTGATATGATTTTCTGAGCAACGCACACATTGACGATATGGAATATCGCCAAGAATCGAAGAAAATTCTCTCTTTTCGCCTGCATATTTTGTTCTTTAGCCGGTTCTTAACTCAAACACTTGATCACAGTCTCTGAAATATCAATTTACGCAAATACGAAGAGTTAAATTGAATACAAATAACTTGGAAAAAAAATCGGAAAAAGATAATTGCCGTTTCTGCTGCAGTAATGAACTTCTTTCATATTCAAGCAAATGTATGAAAATCTATTGATCGCAAAAGATCGACGAAATGTATATCAATACTGCAGCAAGACAAGTTTAAGAAATGTGGTTTGTTGCAATTCAAATGCAAATTTATTTATTCAAATAATTGATTTTCCATCGTTTATTTGGAATCTCCATTGAATAATTGTTAAGAATGTAAAAAGATTTATTGTAAGTTGAGTGAATGTAATGAAATAGATCGCTTAAGAGTTGAGTTTCAAAATGAAATGTAAATTTTTTTCGATTGCATGTGACATTGATGTCGCCGATTTCTCTATCACTGAAGAGGACGTTCCAATTTAGGCTTCTGCGGGTTGCGTGGACATTCGAAATAGGTACAGATGAAATTCTAGTGAAAATGTCGAACAGAATGAAAAAAAAAAATTAGAATCATTATCATCCAGCTCGTTGAATGTTTTTAGAAAAAAATCAAAACCATACATACAATGTCACTTTGTGTTCCAGTTATTTTGATGAAAATCGCCGAGCGTGGTGCAAAGTCAAATTCTTGCCATCCTGTGAGATATTCATTTCGTTTATCAACGGCCATTGTCCAAGTTCCTTTGTTCATAGATGTCTCGATCAAAAACGAATACTTGTTTGAATGATTCATGCTGTTTCCAAGCAGCATTCGCAATGAACCAATGTGGTAAGGCTGGTTGAGTTGCAATAAAATGTACCGATTTTTCTCGTGGCACGTGAACTCATCCAGATTCAAATTCAACATATTGGTCCCACCACCTCCTTCAACAAGGGCACCGCATTCAACTTTCGCAACATTTTTAGCTGGCTTTATTACGCCATCGACCAGATCCGGATAGTTGGTTGTATACACTGCGCGCAATCCAAGAATGTCAAACGAATCATAGGAGATGTAATATTTATCGTCGTAGGAACAATCTGTTCTGCTTTCTTCTAAGCCGGTAGCCCATGTGCCAACCAATTTAATGAATCGAACTGGACGCGAGTTGAAGTACAGATCTTGCCACGATCTATTGTAATGCTCGCTGTAATCAAACAATCGTGTGTATTCTTTTCCATCAACTGATACGTCAACGTAATAGGAATATGACCGAGAATCTTCATCCATCAAGAGAAATTTGATATTGTTTATGAATCTGATTTTGCCAAGGTCCACGGTTATGCATGAACTTAATGGTGCTTCTGTAATTTTATTTATAATCCCCCGGGTAATTGGGTGATATGTGTAACCTAAAAGATTCATTGACTCCGTCATTAAAATGTTTTAGATCAAGTCAAGAAATTACTAAATTGTATATTACCAGTTTTCCAGTCAAAGTCCGTGAAATTACCACTTAAAAGTGCTGACGGATTTTCACCAGAAATAGTTTTTGCACCGAGCTCGGGGGTAGCAAAATTTTCTTCAATCTCACTTTTCGAACCTAATAAAAATTGGAAGAAACGTTAAACTAGTTCTTGAAGATAAATTTTAGCATAAATTTTTACATGAAACCCGGCTGTTTGCATTGCTCAGCTTATTACAGCCTTCCATCAAGTTCAAAAGTTGCATTCGATCCAGAACGCTACTTGGGAAAACTACATTCAGCAAATCATTGGCACTCAGTTCTGACCATCGCACTGTTGAAAGCGCTGCCTAGATTTTACAAAGGAAGCAATTTAACTATTTCCAAAATATCAATCGATCAATATGAGCTTACTTTAACATCAGCACCTGGATTGTGTGTTGACCAATTGCACACCGCTTTGAAAATTTCGATCTCGGGTGCGTAGAATGAATCACGTTTCAGCAAAGTGCACAAGGAATCGACTGGTAAGGCTTTGAGAGAGTCGTGGTCAAGCAACTCCATAGAATGGCAATCCATGAACTTCATGCACGCTGTTTGTAAATCTTTGATGGAATATAAATGCGCTGCATTGAGCATCGATCCGCAATTGTCCAATGTCAGATTGGCCGTCAAGTAATCCAAAATGATCTTCTTCATCGATGCACTGAAGTCATATTGTTCGGCCAGATCATAAACTTCGATGATTTGATGGCTTTCCAAGGCGGCCAGCGATAGACAACCGGTGTACATGTATTTCAAGATCGCTTTGAAGGCGTCCACCGGAACTTCCAATTCGACTTCTGCTTGGGCTGACTCAGCAAATGCACCACCAAACAATGAACGAAAGTATGAACTTCGGAGCGACAAGATCGTCTTGTGCGCCGGGATCTTCTGGTTTTCAACAACGAAAGTCACATCCGCATGCTCATCGTTCATGCAAATATCACTTAAGAGTTGCAAAATTTCATCTGTTTGCCGTAAAAATTGAAAATGAACAGAAAATTTCGGAATAGAAATTAGTTTCAACGAGAAATTTTGGTTTTTGAATTTTCCATTCCAATTAATATTTACCCGATTGATCGATTTCACCATTACTGTGAGTAT